TGTTCTCCTCATCGTTATTAATCGTTATCGAAGTGAATAATCATTCGACTTTCCTGATCGGCAAAAGGTCATATTGAAAAGTGTCTAATGTCGGAGTCGCTCAGATGTCGGTCGCTCAAATGTCGGGGTCGCTCAAATGTTGGTCACTCAAACTTCGACTGACGGTTTTTTGGCTTGTACGCGTGGACAGACTAATGTTGGATAGTCATTCTTCTTCTTTAAATCTATAATGATGATCGCATTTTCAGATCTTTTGATTTATTTTTAATATGCATTATACATCGCTTCAAGTGGTAGTATCCAAGGATAAAATATTATTTAATTTCAGAACATGTGCAAACAAATAAAAGCAAAAAAATACTTCAGAAACTCAATAAAGACAACATTTTTGTTTGAAGAAAAAAGCTTTATGTGTCTTATTCATATATGTAAATATGTCAAGTGTCAAATAAAGAAGATAACCATTATGACCATCCTTTTTATATGCTGATAAGACGCACAAAGCCTTTTTCGTAAAACAAAAATGTTGTCTTTATTGAGTTTCTGAAGTATTTTTTGCTTTTATTTGTTTGCACATGTTCTGAAATTAAATAATATTTTATCGTCAGATACTACCATTTGAACTGATGTATAATGCATAATAAAAATAAATCAAAAGACTTGAATCTGAAAATGTTATCATTGTTACAGATTTAAAGAAGAAGAATGACTACCCAACGTGATAAATCATTAGCAGCAACATCATTAAAATTAGATAAAAATGAATCCAAAAGAAAGGATTGTATCCAAAGCAAACCACCATTGTCATTACAACAGCATGTTAGAGCAGGAAGTAAAGTTTCGAAAGCAGGAGAAAATGTAGTTTTTATCTGGGTACCACCAGGTATGAAATTCTACTTTCTAGATCTCAATTTGTATTTAACTTATTGACATTAATTAAATAATTATTGACATAAATTAAAATTAGAGATCAATTTAAAACCGTTTTCTTTATTTATTTTCATAAGGTAAAAATCAGTCATCATCGTTCAAAGGCTTGTATATGCGGCCGACTAAACGACAATCTTCATCACAATTGATTAAAATAGATACAACATGGAAACCTTCCGGTGTTTATAAATCTGTACAAGTTGACGAAGATGACGAATCCAAATCCAAGCAATTCAGAACATCTACGACAGAATCTATACTACTAAATTCACGATCTGATCCAGAATTTAAACGATCCAACAATAAAGGAATCTCCTGGAAACCTGCTGGCCCTCCGAAACGTCAACCAGGTAGTTTTTCTCTTTCGAACATAGTTATAGTTCAAAAACTAAAGTTATTTATTCACATAGACATTTTATTACTTATATTACTTTCTATATTTGTTTTAGTTCGTTATTTCGATCAGCCTTCATTAAGATGGTCTAATAAAGAAGTAATAGAATCAATGCCTGACATTTTACGTATGCGAAATGCTCCGATGCGTCGTTCTCCTGATAAGAAAAATGACGAAAAAGATCGACTGAAACAACGCTCATAGTTTGTGTCGAGATATAAACAAAAAAGAAAAAGCACGATCTATTTAAGAATAAACTACAATAATATTCATAGTAGTTAAACTTAAATATGCTCAAATATATTATATATATAATGCAAAATACATTTAATCAAATTGACATTTATAGTATGAAAATTCTGTGAAACTAATATTCTTTTTATATAGATCATACGAAATAAACCTTCGCTATCTTTGCATAATCTTTTTCGGCAATTAATGTTCTGGATCTCAATCATTTTATTAAAAAAGAATTGTGCTTTAAAAGTATTTATAATGATGTATAGAGTAGAGATGTGCAACCCGCTCCACTCCGATCCGAAGGTTAGGTACAGATACGAAGTTGTCGGGTACGAGTAGGATATTTTACAACTTCACTCAAAGAAAACTGATGCCATTAAGGGTATGCCCTCTCTCATAGTGACAGAGTTAAACCTCGTAAATACAAAAGAATGATAATAATACCACGTGCTAGATTAGAGATTCGTCCAACCAATAATTCCATAAAACCTATAAAAGGAGCACATTTGACAACAATAATATCAATAAGCGGTGCTCAATCAAGCTGGGCTGCTAACATTAAGGCTAAATAAACATGGAACTGGAACCCCCACAGTGTGCATGTTTAGCACAACATCGCAACATCGGACATCACAATTTTTTACGAATAAATCTTTTTCCATAGATAATTATCGTTCTCCACTGGTTGAAAAATCTACTGTACTATTTGGAAACATTTATGCTATCTGTACAGGTGTATTACAGACAAAATAGTATATGTACAAAGTTTAAACCTTGGAAGAATTTGGGAAACTCGTTACACCGAGGATGTCTCCAAGAGAAATTAGTTAGCTTGGAAATGAATTTTGTTTCTCCAGAATTTGGTTCAGCAAAACTGGGCATGTATACCAAGAACACAACGAAATTAAATCACAACAGCTAATTATTACATAATACACGCTCGGAAAACTCGGAGCAATACCTTAGGATTGAAACAAAAACAACGGCAATGGAGAAAATTTTTTACAAATACAAGTATTAACCAAAGGATTAAAACTTGTACCAACTCTGGAATCATTAGATATTATCGATGTTATTGTCAAAACAGAAAAGTTAATATCCATGGACAACGACGTGATGTACGCATTGGAGATTGTGTCTCACCCCTTTGGTTATTTATGCATGGATGAATATATGAAAAACCAGTTACAAGACGTTAATCAACCAAGAAAATTGTAGAGATACGCGACGATATCTTAAAAATAATAAAGATGACTGAAAAAAAATTAAAATATGTCCATAAGTTGAATTCACTAAGAGGGAAAATTCGGGTCACACATGGATATGAATAAAACAATAAAAGTAAAGGGTTTTCCAATAGGGGCGCTCGATTTTTGACATTCTGCTGTGGCAATACCAAAAATCTGTCATCAAAATTTTTTTGACATTTATTGTCAGTTCATTAAACCATTTCACCATGAATAAATACACAATCGAACAACGCGTGCAAATTATTAAAATTTATTATCAAAATAATGAATCTGTGCGAGAAACGTTTCGTGCACTTCGTGAATTTTATGGTCGAAATAATCGTCCTGTAGAAAGCACAATTCGTCGTCTAGTGAATAAATTTGAATCAAGTGGTACTGTTACTGATACGAAAGTGCCAGTAAGACAAAGAAATGCACGTAGTGAAGCCAATATTGCTGCTGTTAATGAAAGTGTTCGTGAGAATCCAAATTTGTCAATTCCTCGTCGATCTCAGGAATTAGGCATTTCTCAAACATCAACATGGCGTATTTTGCGTAAAGATTTGGGTTTACATCCATATAAGATTCAGTTGACTCAAGAACTAAAGCCAAATGACCATTCATTGCGTCGCAGATTCGCTGATTGGGCTTTAGAGCAGCTTGAAGTTGATGCAAATTTTGGCAAAAAAATCATCTTCAGTGACGAAGCACATTTCTGGTTGAATGGCTTTGTTAACAAGCAAAATTGCAGAATTTGGGGTGAAAGCAATCCACAACAAATTCAACAATTGCCAATACATCCAGAAAAATTGACTGTTTGGTGTGGTTTATGGTCTGGTGGCATCATTGGTCCATTTTTCTTCAAAAATGATGCAAGAGCCACAGTTACTGTCAATGGAATTCGTTACACAGCAATGATCAATCAATTTTTGTTTCCAAAAATTGATGATATTGATGCAGACGACATTTGGTTTCAACAAGACGATGCCACATGCCATACGGCTAATGCAACAATCAATTTATTGAAGGAGAAGTTTGGTGAATCGATTATTTCGAGAAAAGGGCCAGTCAATTGGCCAAAAAATTTAGAATAAGTTAAAAATCTCAAGTACTTGGGCTTTAGATCGGTGACATTTTCATGCGGCACATTCCGCTGGGTATTTCTACCATGGTAAACAGTAGAAATTAAGTATTTTCGATCTCTT